GGCAGCCAGGCTCTGTCAGAATACCCAAATGGTGGCTGCAGCTGATTGGCTGCAAGCAGCGTTCATTCGAACATTTTCCAACCAGCTCCTTCAATTAGCTGATTAAGGGATGCTGGCTGGAAGGGCGTCGACAGCCACATTCACTGTGCAAATTTCAGCCAGTTCATAAAGAAACAGGAGAAATTCGTGGCCAGGTTTAGACTGCCGAAGGCCAGGGGAGAAGAGACTTCTGGGACTTGTCTAGCAGCCAGGAAGGATAGAGGATCAAGTCAGTATATCTGTTTTATCTGAGCCCCCTAGACCAAAATGAGAAGTTCCAAGTGATATTAAAGTAAAAATGTGTTCTATATGAAATGCCCAATCAGTTGGATGTGGTACCAGATACTGACTAGAGGGGGAGACATTGAGACTATGACTTTTCTCTAGTTGGATGTGGTACCAGATACTGACTAGAGGAGGAAACATTGAGACCGCTCCTTTTCCGCTGCTCTGCCACCCGCTGCATGTACGGGCGGCTGTGCGGCAGGGATGGAGAGGCTTCAGTAGTCGTGCAGAATGTGCTGCAGGCACCGCCAGGCAGCACATTCTGCTGTGTGAGGACCCTCTCCTTTTAGCCCCGCCTCCGGGACGCGGTTTGCTGGGGACCTCGGCAGCCGTCCTGTTAACCACACAGTACCATGGCGGCAGGGGATTGGGGGGGCCCTTCATAGTTTCTTGCACCGGGGCCCTGAAGGTTCTAGTTAAGCCTCTGTGTGGCACCAGATACTGACTAGAGGAGAAGACATTGAGACTATGACTATTCTCTAGTTGGATGTGGCACCAGGTACTGACAAGAGGAGCAGACACTGAGACTATACATATTCTCTAGTGAGAGGTGACACCTGACACTGACTAGAGGAGGAGACACTGGGACTATAACTATTCTCTAGTCAGAGGTGGCAACAGACACTGAGTAGAGGAGGAGACACTGAGACTATACATATTCTCTAGTTAGAGGTGGCACCAGACACTGACAAGAGGATGAGACACTGAGACTTTGAGTATTCTCTAATCTCTAGTCAGAGGTGGCATCTGACACTGACTAGAGGAGGGGACCCTGGGAATATAACTATTCTTAAGTCAGAGGTGGCACCAGACACTGACTAGAGGAGATGATACTGGGAGTATAACTATTCTCTAGTCAGAGGTGGCACCAGACACTGACTAGAGGAGGAGACACTGGGACTATAACTATTCTCTAATCAGAGGTGGCACCAGACACTGACAAGAGGAGGCAACACTGGGACTATAACTATTCTCTAATCAGAGGTGGCACCAGACACTGACCAGAGGAGGCGACACTGGGACTTTAACTATTCTCTAATCAGAGGTGGCACCAGACACTGACCAGAGGAGGCGACACTGGGACTTTAACTATTCTCTAATCAGAGGTGGCACCAGACACTGACCAGAGGAGGCGACACTGGGACTTTAACTATTCTCTAGTCAGAGGTGACACCAGACACTGACTAGAAGAGGAGACAGTGGTACCCAGTCAACCCTGGTGACAACTGTCTCTGAGGAGAATTCCCCTCACTTTGTAGAAATTTGCCCCCACCTCCTGTTGCATGTTTAGGACAGGAAGTAACAAAACTCTTCTCAAAGTGACAGAGCCAACATAAAAACAACCTGGCAGGGGTTTAGGCAAATAAAACATTTTGGCTAAACATTCACTTTAGTATAAATAAAATCCAACCAATACCAGAGACAGTAATAACATTTTGTGCATTTTACCAGAAATACAAAAACACATTCGTAAATATGTACAACAGACAATAAGTGGGGGACGTTTTCAGTTTTGGGTAGAGTGGAGAAAGATTAGAACGCCTGTCAGGTTTTGTTGCTGAAACAGTAGAAAGTTATCATGGCACACTCACAAGCCAGCATGTAAAAAAAACTTGTCTCACCACTAAGGTTAACAACAGAGGTTTGGATACAAGTCTTCTGCAGAAAAGGTTTTTTATTGCTGTCTCCTAATAGGGAGATTCACCCTCTCTATTTGTCCTGGTGACCGTTATCACTGAAAGTGAAAGAAAACCCCAAAGTTTGAGTAGTCACCAGAACAAGAGTAGATGGGAAATCTTCCAATTGGGAAACAAGTTCTGTTGACTCTGCTGACCACCAAGGATTTTTCTTACTTTGGAGGAATTTCCTTTCACTTCATATAATGGCCATCAGACAGGAAGTGAAGGGAAATATTTCCAACGGGACAAGGGTTATAACCCTTCCTTACCCTATCCAAAACTTTAAAAAAAAAAAAAAAAACATTTGGGCTTTACTTCTACTTTAAAACAGTACAGTGAGTACTTAAAAAAGAAAACCAATGTAGCTACCACATCTAAGAACTTTTAAATTAGTATTAAACTCTCAACATGTTTTTTCAATAATGATTCCAGATCAAAAAAAGTATACCTTTCCCAGCAAAGGGGGACTTCATAGCATCCTGCAAGGGAAAGGGGGC